GCCAAGCCCTCTGTACCACCGGCTGATATGGCTGCTCTTTCTTGGGACGGCTCATCATCCTCACAAGTCACCATGACTTACACTGGACCCCTGTCCGATACCATGGACTCTAAGAAACCTCAGAGGCGTAAGCCAGATATTTCCACCTAATTGATACCTGGCAAGCACAGTACTGTGGCTCCTAAGTGCCACTGGCCAGACGCACCTCCTGATATGTCAACCTCTTCATATCTGCAGAGTTCCTCACCTTCACCAGTGCATTCTTCAAACTCGGAGTCCTCTGATTCCATGGCCTTACGAGAATCACCCCCCAATCTTCTGACTCCCAATTCCAATGTAGCTGAGGTTAACCCTCCATCACCATTGGAGGATTTCTCCTCCTATTCTCAATTAATTCCCCGTATTGTGAAAGCCATGGACCTTGAGGTTATTGTCACATCTCTCACATCTTTCACCTTCCGTGCTTACAACTTTTTAGCTGCAATGGGAGCCTATCACAGGTTTCTGTGGAACAAAGCCCTTCCATCCCTACAGTCAACCTCTGGAGAGTACAAATCTCGGAGTCTCACCTTTCACCAAGAGGCTATGGCATTGGCACGACAAGAGTGCATCATAGCATGACATATAATTGAGGCAGCTTCTAAACACATGGCCATAGCTGTAGACTTATGTAGACATGCCTGGCTACGTTCCGCAAGCATCTCAGAGGACTCTAGGATGAGAATTGAGGACTTAACTTTTGATTGTGCTGATTTGTTTGATGAGAAAACAGACAAGATTCTGGACAACCTACAAAAGATGAGAAAAACAGCGCGCTCCACAATACTCAGCCATATTACAGGCCCCGAAGGGTGGCGTGGCGTCGTCCATATCCCTTCCACCTTCAGAAGTCTGTCCCAGAAAAGCAACATTATTTATCTCAATCATCTTCCACATTCCAGCCTTGTCTGCACACTCAGAAACAGTGCCCTCGCCAATCCTGCAAGCACCATGACAAAAAGAGCAAGCAGAATCTTTGACTGCCCTACCATTCTGATCCACACACTCTCCTCTCTCCTCACCACCTGCCTCATACCCCATTTTCAATCTTGGGCACGCATAACCACAGATTCGTGGGTCCTGTCAATCATATCCATCAGGTACGCAATAGAATTCATTTCTGTACCACCACAGATTGTCATAACTTCACCATCCACCGCTCTCAAATTAGAGATTCAATCATTCCTCTCAAAGGAGGCTATTTCACTCGTCACTCCAAGTGCTTCTAATCCAGAGTTCTTCCGGCTTTTCCTCATTCCAAAATGAGACAACAGTCTATTCCTACTGACATCAAGACTCACTCCACCAGGGCAATGGCCACTCGAAGAAACACAGTTACAGGTAAGTAACCTCTCGTTTTGGTTTACCATGTTGTACTGCACTATTTGACCATTTCTAGTGTTTGTATACTTCTGATATTAGTCCCAAAAATGTATTTTAATGATGTGAGCCACCCTGAGTCCTTTTTAAGGAGAATGGCTGGGCAAAAATATTTTAAATAAATAAAATAAATGAATTGTTTTTCATAGAGAGTGGTCCATTTGCTTTGTGTCAAATCAACAGGACATGTCTGGAGAATTATGGTATATATTGCGTTATTAAATAAGCAGTCCCATTTATTTTAGTGGGCTTACTGTTATTGTGGCTACATTTGGATCCAACCCAAAAGATTTAAGCACCCATTATCAGGTTCAAAGTGAGCCTCAAAAAAAGCCAAGGACATCTGTCTGTAGCAATAACCTATGCTCTGATCTTCCTCTTCAGCTGCTTCACCTTTGCTTCAGAGCTTTTCCTTGATGTCATAGTGCTTAAAATTTGGCTAGTCCACAGATGTAAGCTCGTTAGTATTTGTCCTGATTTTTCTGCTCATGGTGACAGAAGAGCTGAGTGGTTATTTTAAAGGTAATCCCTGAGCGGTGAGTTATCTTTGGCCTCCAGGTTCAACAGCATTGCTGAGCAAGCATGCAGCTAGGACATGTAAAACATATTCATTAGAAATGCTACTCACAAATTAATTCTGACCTTATGATTTACAGCAGAAGTGGGGGTGGAGTGAATTTTCAATCAAGGTGTTGTGTGCCATCGTCCCGTTATAAATAACAAGATTTGAGCTGGCATATTTTACATGCACTTGGAGGGTAGCCATTTTATACTGTTTAACATTTTATGCTACCATCAGGCCAAAATGTGTGTTGATATAAAAGAGAATAATAATTATGTTGCTTTCATTTCCTGAATAAATTGTGTCTG